GAGGTTGCCACAGGGATTTGGGGGAGTGAGAAACTGGCCAGACCAGCAGCAGAGGGCAGAGAACGGTGGCTCTGTAGGACCACTAGAGGACGTGAGTGGAGGGAGGTGGACACAGGTGCCGGGCAGCAGAGGTCTGGCTGCGGCCAGGCACGGGGCTGCCAGGCATGTGTCAGAACCAGTCCCTCACCCGGGCTGCTCTTGCAGAATCCACACAGGCGACAGACCCTACAAGTGCCCACATCCTGGCTGTGAGAAGGCTTTCACTCAGCTCTCCAACCTCCAGGTGAGTGCCTCCCTGCCCACCGCCCCCAGGCGTACAGCTGTGTCCCCACTTCCCCAGGGCCAGGAAGGGGGCGGAGTGGGAGAGAGTGGCCGCCTCACGACCTCCTTGCTATGCTCTTCACAGTCTCACCAACGCCAGCACAACAAGGACAAGCCCTACAAATGTCCCAACTGCTACAGGGCCTACTCAGACTCCGCCTCCCTCCAGATCCACCTCTCCGCCCACGCCATCAAGCACGCTAAAGCCTACTGCTGCAGCATGTGTGGGCGGGCCTATACCTCGGTGAGTCCTGCTGCCTGGCCCCAAGTTCCAGAGCCGCCTGCAAGGCCAAGGCCCGGCTGTGGGCCTAGATTCTGCTCTTCTGAGCTGGGGAAATCCTGCTTGGGGCAACTGTAATCCCTGCCAGAGCCACCAGAGGGCACAGTACCACAGCCAGAGCTACCCATCCTTCAGGGAAAGGTGGCCAGAGATGGGTCCTGGGCAGGGGAAAAATCTTCCAAAGAAGGGCCTTTGGGTACGCAGGTAACTCAGTTGTGTGCATGTTTCTAGTTCTTTAATTATTCTGGTACCAGGCCCCCATAGCCAAGAGTATTCATGAGTATCAGTCTACTCCTCTATCAAGTGGCTCCTTCCAGGGCAGCTGGCTGGCAGGGCTATCAGTTTCTTCAGTGTCCACTGGCCACTGAGTCAGGCACTGAGGAAGCAGGAAATACCGGTCAGACATGGAAGTTAGGGACCCCGATGGAGACAGGGAGTCAATACATAATTGCACATACGCGGTGGTTGCTGCTTCCAAGTAGCACGGCTCCGTTCTAGCCCCACACACCCTAGGCAGGATGCCCCTCTGTGGCTGGACACATCCCTGTGTCTAGTAGGACGTCCATCAACCTCTGCATGCACCCACTGAGTGCCAGCAGCATCCTCTCCTCCCCAGGATGAGATCACCAGAAATGTCTCCAGACACTGTGTATGTCCACTAGGGGGCAGCCCTTCCTTCTGTCACAATAACAAAATACTTACGAGAATTGATTTTAAAAGATGAAAGGTTAGTTTTGGCTCCTGGAGTTGGAGGTTTCGGCCCATGGCCCGGCCCTCACATTTGCTTAGGAAGCTTGTCACTGACAGTACTGTGTCTTCAACTGCTGCTCTCTGAAGCAGAACACAGGCATCCTATTATTTTGGTTATAAAAATCTTCATGTCTCACCAGGCAGTGATGGTGCACACCTTTAATCTCAGCATTTGGGAGGCAGAGGCAGGCAGATCTCTGTGAGTTCGAGGCCAGCCTGGTCTACAGAGCAAGATCCAGGACAGACACCAAAACTACACAGAAAAACCCTGTCTCAAAAAAAAAAAACAAAGAGAGAGAGAGAGAGAGAGACAGAGACAGAGAGACAGAGAGACAGAGAGACCTATATTGCCCTGGGTCAGTGTCTTCTAAGCCGCAGCCCCTCTCCCCACCCACCCTTCTCTCTGCTGTGTGCTCACTGGAACCATTCCTGGCTTGGCTGTTGCTGACTTCTTCTGGCTTATGTAGCCGCTGACCACGTTCACAGGCTCTCTCTCTGCCTGACTGCCCGTCTTGAGGTGTGAGGCCTGGAGTGGCAGCCAGGGACAGGGTATGTGTGTTACCTTGCTCCTGGCCGAGGCCAGGGGAGGATGTGGGCATGCAGACAGCCCAGGTCACATCACCCATCTACTCATGGTGCCTCAGGGCAGGCTTAGTAGAGCCAGTGGAGAATGGGGATGACTCCAATGTGGCCTCACCCCCAGAGGATCAACTGGAAGCTTACAGAGGCAAGGATTCCTGCTTCCAACTGGAATAAAATGTTGAGGCTGGGGAAGGAGTGGCCTCCTTGTCCCTCACTGTATGCCAAGGGCTCTAGGTAGTGTCCTTGCTTACAGAGGAGGAAACGGAGTCTTGGGAGCAGGTTGCGGGAGATGACTTGTCCTAATGCTAAAAAAATGGCAGAACTCAACTCCAGCCAAGCCCCTGCCTCACAGGAAACCCGACCAGATACAGACGTGGACGTAGGGTGTGATGGCACTCAGGGCTGGGTTCACACTGTATATCTCCCTACAGCCGTTGATGACGAGCTGCCGGCTTGGCACTTGGGAGGTGCAGGGTTTGGGGTGGGAACTGTTGATGTCGACCCTTGTTGCCTGTCAGCCCTGTCCCGCACCTCCAGCCAGCACTGAGTAGGACTGGACTCCAACAAAGAGCAGAATCACCCCCAGCAGCCGCAGCACCCCTAGAACCCATCTCATAGGAACAACCGAACCCCAAGGCTGTGGCTGCAGGCCCAGCTGGGCTGCCCTCCCGTGGCCACTTTGGGAACTGTAGCCTCTGTTGTGATAACGTCTTCCATCTGCCTGCAGGAGACCTACCTGATGAAGCACATGTCCAAACACACAGTGGTGGAGCACCTGGTGAGCCATCACTCACCCCAGAGGACGGAGTCCCCCGGCATCCCGGTGCGAATCTCCCTGATCTGAGCCCACCTGTGGCGCCGCCCCGCCCACTTGGCCGACGCAGACCCAGGCAGCACCCAGCCTAACTCCTGCTGGGCCTCCAGGAACCACCAAGCTCTCGTGACGACCTTTCCAACCTGCCAGAAAGCTTGGCCCGCAGAAGCCCTGCCTGGTCCGGCTCCTGGGCAGCCAGGCCAACTGCAAGATTCTGGACTGTTCTGGTGGCATCCAAAGACGATCTCAGAGCACTTTGAACCTGTCTGTTGGGTTTTCTTTTTGTTTCCTCTCCCTCACTTGCTTCACTGTTTTTTTTTTTTTTTAAGTTTGTTTTGGAAATAACAAAAAGGATATTTATTGGCCAGAATGTTGGTGCTGCTAAGAACAAGAAATTAAAAGGACTGGACAGACGGATACAGAGAACCGGAGGGCAGCGTGGGACCTTCTCTGGCCATTGCCTCAGGTCTTGAGGGGAGGCTCAGGCCTGGGGTTCTGAACTTCAAAGGGGACCCTCCCCCAGGTGGGAGGATACAGGAGACAGCTGGAATGAGCCCTTCGGCCCCGTGGCCCAGCTCAGACTGCCTGAGCCTTGTCCTAGCCTTCCCTGGGCGGAGGGCTCGGCAGCTGCCAGGGCTGCCTGGCTTCAGGGCATGGAAACAGGAGGGGTCTGGAGAGCCGCGGGACCAAAGGGTGCAGTGACGGCTGGGTGGCGAGCCCAGGGAAGTGGGTTGGGGAGGTGCCTGGTGAGGCCTGGCTCCTCCCCTGCTGCCCTGAAGACCACCCCAGTCTACCTCGGTGCTGGCCAGGAAACCTATCGGCTACCTCTCCCACCACTGCAGACTGTGGGCAGGGGGATGGGGATGGAGTGGGTCTGGGGCTAAGACTTCCTTCAGAATTCCCTCCAGAAGGGGACAGTGCCCAGGGAGGGGTTGTCTTTCTTGCCACAGAAGAGGACTCCCCAACCCAGACCCCAGGCCCTGCAGCAGGGATAGGATCCTCCAAAGGAGGTCCTAGGAGCAGACCCTGCCCCCAGTCCCCCCAGACATCCCAATCCGAAAGCCATGCGTGTCCATGTATATAGGAACTATGTACAGAGCCCAGAGAAGCCCTTCCACACCCCCCCAGAGAAGAAGAAAACTAGACAAAACTCATCTATATATTCTGTATCTGGAGTCCGTTTGAATATTAACTGTGTTATTTTTATACACTTTTTAAGCCTTAACTCGCCATTGATTTACCAGTTTAACGTTTCCTGGGGTTTCTTTTCCACTGGGGGGTTCTCTGCCCCCCACCCCACCCCTTTGTTTGCGTCGTCGGATACTCAGTATTGTAGCTTTTCGTCCGCATGTTACTACCCTGTAAATACGCTGTTCCGATGCTGTTAACACCCTTGGCTTTTTTTCTATGGGACCTCCAGGCCACCATATTTAGAAATAGTTACCTTATTAAAAAAGAGAAAATGGTCTGTGGCTTCTCAGTCTGCATCTCGGTGGCAGGGAGGCGAGGGCAGGTGGCCCTCGGAGCTTCAGGAGAGAAGCCCAGGTGCTGTTTAAGGAAGGGGGTGGAGCTAGACGAATCGGATATTGGGGAGGACCCTTAAAGGGGGCTCTTTGTATCTCTGATGTGAAGAATAAACTGAACCTACACACCCGGGTGGTGGAGGCGTCCGGAGTGCGTGGTGCTGTGTCGGGTGCTGTGTGGGAGAGCGGGCTGGACCACCTCTGCTCTGCACTGCCCCACGGTTGGGAAGGGAGGCCGATCCATGGCCATGTGCTTCGTGCTGGCATGCTACACAATGCCCCGCGGAAGGGGCTGCAACCCAAGAGAAGCATTTTGTGTCCAGTTGAGTGGCAGGGATGTCGTGCGTACCCGGTTTTTCTGGTTTTGAAACTTGTGTTAGGTATACTAGGTTCTGTTCCCCCTCGGCCTTCTGGTCACCCATCACAAGAGCCTGGTCTGTGGAAGCTGTTCTAGTGTTGGGGTAGGGATGGGCTCATGGAGATACATTCACATATGTTTTCCTCCATGGTGGAGTCGGTGTGTTGATGTCTCGGAGGGGCAGAAGGGGACTACAAGAACAAATCCCCCCAAGTTTATCAAGGTTGGCCTTGCGAAGGTGTCCTGGTGGAGACAGGTGACCCACTTCCGGGTCACCAATGGAGACCCTCTGAAATACATCTCCCCAGGAAAGAAGCAGAATGTATGTCAGACTCTCAGTGCGACAGATACCTGGGAGAGTTCATAGGAGGACTGATTGCTTTCGGCTTATGGTTTTAGTCCACTGGCTCTTGGCCATCAGGTTAGGACTGAGGCTTGAGCCTTGAGGAGAGGGGACTGTATAGAGGACATGCTCACTCTGTGGCAGCCAGGAAGCAGAGACACAGAGGAAGACGTGGGGACAAGACATGTCTTCTATTGTTTCTGGGCCTGTGTGGGGCCAATCAAGCCTCAGTGTTGAAAGGTGTGGACGTGGGGGTTGGAAATGGGCAAATTCCCCGCCTGGCTGTAACACGAGTGGGCTCCAGCACTTTGCAGCAGTGTGCCCATCCCCTCTGAAACCCAGCGCGCACAGGCCTTTGTTTTCACAGTCCTGTCCTCATTCTGGGCTCTGTTGAAACTTCTACTAACTTTTCCAAATTCTTCCCACAAACCCTTCCCAGATAGTCACAGCAGTGACCTAGTTCTCTGGCAGAAATTGTTTTGTGTGCAGACTTTTCATCCTGTGACAAATGGCAGATGGTTTACAGGAGGCGAGGTGGGCTTGGGCCGAGGGTTTCTGTCTGCGGCACAGCCCATGGCTGGCTGGTTCCATTGTTTCGGGGTCTGTGGGAGGCAGAGCAGCCCCATGGAAGGGCTGGGAAGAGCACAGTTGCTCACCTCAGAGTGAGAGAGACAGAAAGGTGTGAGAGGCACCATGCCCTCCAAAGGCCTCTCGGGGGGCCTGCTCCCTCCAACCAGGCTCCCCCCACATGTCAGCAAATCATGAGTGTGAATGGATTAATCCAATGACTAGGTCAGAGCCTTCAAGCCACAGTTGTGTCTCAGGAGTTGGCTCCACCCTTGAGGATCAAGCCTTTTGGGGGTGCACTTTGTATTGATGTGATATCAATGTTTTACCATTGAACCAAGAATAGATGTGGTCTTGCACAGAACCACCATGGTTTTGGTAACCTTACAGGCCTGGGGTCTTTCTCTAAGGTTGATCTTTGTGTTCAGCTATAATGGAAAGAGCTGGACTCTGGCAGCCATATCTGTCACGTTACCTCATTACCTATGTTATCCACACTTGATTGGCCAGAGGTGACTCAGTAAATACACACACACACACACACACACACACACACCTGGAGAATTCTCTCCGGGTCCCACCAAGCCCCAGCAGTCCGACAGCCCACTTACAAAATAAATACACAGACGCTTATATTATTTACAAACTGTATGGCTGTGGCAGGCTTCTTGCTAACTGTTCTTATATCTTAAATTAACCCATTTCTATAAATCTACACCTTGCCACATGGCTTGTGGCTTACCGGCATCTTCACATGCTGCTTGTCATGGCAGCGGCTGGCAGTGTCTCCCTGACTCAGCCTTCTACCTCCCAGAATTCTCCTCTCTCCTTATCCTGCCTACACTTCCTGCCTGGCTACTGGTCAATCAGTGGTTTATTTATTAACATATTTTCCATACAGAACGATATCCACAGCGCGCGCGTGCGCGCGCGCGCGCGCACACACACACACACACACACACACACACACACACGCAGCCAGTGGTCCAGCAGCTGCCCTGGCCCATAAGATCAGATGGTACACACCTCCCTAATTACACATTCAGGAGTGTTAGTGGCTTGTCCCCAGCCATGACCTGTCCACGTGTCCACCAGTGTGGAGGCCAAAGGCTAACCCTGAGTGCCAGTCTTCAGGCTCTGTCCACTTCCTTGGTCTTTCCT